CACTGATACACACACACACATGCACTGATACACACACACACGCACTGATACACACACACATGCACTGATACATACACACATGCACTGATACATACACACGCACACACCCTTGCTCAGACACTCACTCACGCTTACCTGCTGTTTTTCTCTTCACATTTGGATATTCCTGCTGTGGTTTCAGTACCTCCAGCCTTGACCCCCCCCCCCTGTACTGGGGGAAAATGATATGCTCTATCGGATCAACGAAGAGAGGCTCACGGCACAGAACAGGGCCTTGGGGGGGGGGGGTTCTGGGTGTGTGGGCTGGGCCGAGGCCTGGGGGGCCCACTTCACTGGAGTTATTGTGCCCCCCCCAGCAGTTATTTCAGCCGGAGGACTGAAGGGCACACGGTGGAAGAGGATGGCACCTCTGCAATACGGCAAGCTGGCCCGATTCCTAGGGGTAGGTGCCCATTGCAATATTCCGGCTATTCGGTGCAAAATTCCGGACCAGGAGGAGCAGGATACAGGGAAACGGAAGGGGAGCGAGAGGTGAGACAGTGGAGGATGTGGAGTAGCAGGAGGAGGCGGATTGAATTCCCAGGCCTGTAGAATGTGCTCCAAACGCTCTGCGATAGACGTGTATGAGTGTATGTGTGTGTGTGTGTTTCCAGACAGACAAGATCTAGATTAGATTAACACTGCTCTCCGCATGGGACCGAAACTGTATCAGAGACAGAGTGAGGAATCCAGCTTAAATACTGGAGTGTTTCACTGATCCACAAAACTGCTAGCTTGCACGTTTAATAAAGAAACTTAACTGGGAGTAAGAAAGTGTGAAGCAGTGACAGTGTGGATGTGTGCCTGAGCATGTGAAACCCAAACCTGGGCATCCTCGGCGTTTCTCTGGCTGTGACTTGAAGGAAAGAGAGACTGATAAATGCAAAGGAAAAAAACACAAAGGGTGAGAGCACAGTGCAGAAATATGCCTGCTCCCACATCTTCCTCCACTGCGTCTCCCTCCAGGCCGTCAAAGCATATTTTCACCTGGGTTCTCCCATCTCTGCTCGCCTGTTGCTTTAACTGCACCGTCTCTTGTTGTAACATCTTTCTCTCGTGTTTCTAGGTGATGAAAAGCGTGAGGTGGTTGGTGGGGGGGGGGGGGGGGGGGGGGGGGGGGGGGGGGGGGGGGGGGGGCGGATGTCGGTGGCCCCCTGCCCTCTTATGGATCAGCAGGGCCTGCTGCACTGCAGTGACTTTGAGGCTGCATGCATCTGTACAGTGATTCTCACTGTGACCCCTGCACTGCAATGACTGCATATTGAATCTGCCTGTGACCCCCCTGCACTGCAGTGACGTTGAGACTGCTACTGCACAGTGATTATTAGTGAGCCCTGCACTGCAGTGAATGTATGTTGAATCTGACTGTGACTCTTGCATTGCAGTGACTCTAAGATGGCAGCTGTACAGTGATGACTGTGACTCTTGCATTGCAGTGACTCTAAGATGGCAGCTGTACAGTGATTCTTGTTGTGACCCCCCACAATGCAGTCACTACATGGCTGCTGCCCTGCAGTGATCCACATCATTACCACTGCACTGCAGTGACTCTGCAACTGTTGCTGTGCAGTAATGGGGCAGTAATTCTCAGTGCGACCAATGCACTGCAATGACTCTGAGACTACCCTTGTGACCTCCGCACTGCAGTGACTGTGTAGTGTCCCATACAGAGGCAGCCACTATGCAGTGTCAATCTCACTGTTGCCATGCATTGACACTCTTCATTCTGAAGCTCTGTTGCTGAGTTCTGTTAGCCGCCATTAGTGCTAGTGTATGTTACACAAACACACATGGCTGCAGACACAGAAATGGGTCACTCAGCTCCGTGCCACGCCGCCCTCCCTACCACAGGTCATCAAAGGAAGTGCTTTTGTTTAACTTCCTCGGGGAAATAGGGTGCTGGCATTAAAGCAGGAGAGAGAAAAGGAGAAGGAATGAAATTAAAACGAGACAATCTCCCTAAAGTCAGAAAAAGTTCGAATCAGCAAAAAGAAAAAAACAAGAATTAAGAGGGAATGAGTGAGAGGGAATAGCGCCCTTTAAGTGTTTGAAAAATTATCGCGAAAAATAGATTACAAAGCGTATGACTCCCCTCTGGTGGTCATGTTGTGTAAGAACAACCAAATCTATGATTTTTTTCAGCGCTCCCCCCAAAACAGCCGGTTACCTTTGCCGGCGTATTTCAGCGAGCACGGAAAGTCTCCCAGACCACGATACAAAAAAGCGATGGCAAAGATATATTTTTAAATATCATTTATTTATCTTCTTAGCTAATTTACAACAAGCGATCCGTCGAAATAAAACATTTAAGTCGTCATCATTAAATCTCTTTCTTGCAGAATAAATTATTTCAAATACACTTTCTATAGGTTATCTGCATCATATTCCTTTTTTCCCCTTGTAGTTTGTCAGTTTAATTTGTTATAATAAAAACTAGTAGATACTTTTTTACGGTCAGGAATTTGATATGATACGAACAACTGAAACTGAAATGGATAAGCAACCAAATTATTGAAGTCATAAAATAAACAGGATGCAAATTAAAATGGTTACTCCACAGTGTGAGAGTTGTGCACAGAAGCGTCGTGTGAGAGATGAACAAAAATGTGTATCCCTTAAAACATTCATATAAAAGACACACACTCACTCACTCACACACACACACACACACACACACCAGCTCAGGTACTTGGCTATTGGCCACACAATCTACTATCTGCTCTGGTGACCGAACGCAGATCAAATGTTGCCATCTGTAAATGGAGTGAGCCTCAGCGACTGTAAACCTGTGGAAAGATCCAGAAATATGTGCTCCGGGTTTCAATTAGCATCGTTTTAGCTGAGTTCAAGCCCCAAAGTTTAGCACAGTCTTACATCTGCCGTGGGCCAAATACTGTCAAGCAGCTGAACGAATAAATAAGAATGGCTGAGAAATAAATAAGGTTTAACTGTCGAGCTGTCTGGAACCCAGTAAATCCAACGTAAATAAATAAATAGACAGACAGATGAATGTAATAAAGAGGAGCGTCCGTCTTTCCGTGCACGCGACGATACGGCTGCGTTTATTGTCGAATTTTGCTCAGTAAATGAACCAGTGGCGTCGTCCGCAAGCCATTCAGCTGAGATGGGCTTCAAACGGGCGGCTTAAAGCGTGAAGGTGCTTCATGTTTGTCCACGTCTCGCTTTTCCTGTTGGACCTCCGGTCGTTCTCCCACAGACACCGTTACTGCGCCCCCTGCTGGCCGCCGGCGATTCCCGGTGGAAGCGGGCACCCCTCCTGTCCGTATTGAGCTGTGGTTCCTGACTTGGCTTCATCATTAAGGACACTCGACTTCCCTTCCCACCCTACTACCTCCTCCCGGTTTCAGTAGAGCCGTCAAATACCATCTTCTTGTGGCAACGTTTCTGGAACAACCTGGTAAGGGTTTGCAGCTTAGATCCTACGTGAAGCTGTGTGTTTGGTGTTGGGTGGGGGCACCTATGACCGTTGCTTTCTCCCTACAGGCTGTCCAGAGACACAGTGCCTTTATAGTTACACGCACCAGGCAACTGGGATCCTCCTCGACAGTCTGAACCTTCGCCAAATCATGGAGGGAAAGAGTGAGTCATCAGCCGCCAGCCTAATACAGACATTGTGGCTGGGGGACTGGTGGTGAGGGGGGGGGGATGTTTTGTCTATGATGGCATGGGGGGGGGGGTGGAGCTTAAATGGGGCTAAAGCGGGTGGGGGTGATGGCAATGGGGGGCGATGTTGGCCAAGGAATAGAGAACCCCCCCTTTGAGGTACGGTGGTGTGTTAGTGACCGCACCCCCCTCCCCACCTGGCTGGCACTGAGGTTTCTATAGTCACGGCGCCGACCAGCCGACCAGCCGGCGCTGGGGGTACAGATCTGCACCGACGCCAAGCTGGAGATGGTCGGCGCAGCCAGGAAGAGGCTCATAGCTCCGCTGAGGCCCCTCTCCATAAATTCTTTCCTTTTTAAAACCAAGCGTTCATTAAACTTTCATAATCTGGTGCATATTGATGCGAAGACGGCTGGTAAGAGCTGGGAGCTCAGACTCATACAATCTTAATATTAAATGCTAATAAATGATAAAGGTCCCTCCTCAGGGCACTGAAGTGTACGACCTGGCTCATTGTCATTCCGAGACGGCCATCGTCATGGCGACGGCCCGGAGCTCGGGACCGGAGACACCTTGGAGGAACGCCGGGACGAACGCCGGCGCGGGTCCCACCGAGGCTCGAACGCGTTTGGAAAAGAACCGTAACGAAACGATCGAATGAAGGCGATGTGAGGTCGCTACACAGGATTACCTGTGCCGGTCAGTCTCGTTAAAATAATAGATATCATTTAATTCATATATCTGTCGTTTCATCTAAATTTGTTGTCTCTACGTAGCGTTTCTTTTTTTCTTAATTTAAGGAGGCCCAGAAGAAAGAGGGAGAGAGAGAAGGTGAGAGATAAACGTGGGGGATGATTTGGGGGAGCGAGGAATGGAGCCGTCACGCGCCGGTGGGCTCCGGGGCTGATCTCAGACCAGGTCCGGGATGCTGGAGGGTGTGTCAGCTGGGGGACGCCGAGCCCCTAAATCTCCGCGTCCATGTCCGCGTTCTCGGTGCCCCCCACCCCAGTGCTACAGACTGCCTGGTGAGTCACAGATGGTCTCTAAATAAAAAGTAAGCAACGGTCGTTTTTTTTTGTGTTGCAAGGAGGCCAGTGATTGGCTGGGAGGAGGACGTCCCGCCTAACGGGCCCCTCCTGACAGACACACATCACTGCCCATCATCCTCCCTGATGCCTGGGGGGGGGGGGGCTCTTTTTCCCTCTATCTCTTCACCTTTGAGTCTTATATCCCAATCACCCAAGTTTTTAAATATTCACACACTGGACTAAGACCAGGATCTTTAATTTTAAGAACCTCCCCCCCCCCCCCC